CCGACGCATTTCTACACTCTCCCGGGCGAACGCGACCCGTCCGCCCGCACGGTTTCCTCCTGGTTTCGGGACCTCCTGGCCTCCTCTCCCGACCTGCACCCTGGCGCTTTCGATCACCATGGTCTACGCGCGGGTGGGGCGTCAGCCTGTTTCGCCTTGGAGGTGCCCGAACAGCGCATCCGCCACTGGGGCGACTGGCGGGGCGCTGCCCTCTGGCGGTACATCGATGTGTATCGCATCCCATCAGAGTGGGACTATCGCCTTTTCGGGTGGATGACGATTACCGCCCGGGACTTGCATGACAGGTATGGCCACATCTTCTGCTCCGGAGGAGCGCAGTGTGTTTGAGGGTGACTGGGCACACTAAGTTGTGGGTACCTCGGGTTGTATTGGGACAAAACAATGTCGTGTAATGTATTGGTCCAGTGTGTGTGTGGACCTGGGTGGGACAAGGAGCCCGGCCCGGCGGAAATGGGATTAACTATCTTGTTAAGTGGTTTCCGCCCAGGGCGACGAGGGGCGGGCGCGCTGGCCCACTTGGGCCAGCGCTGCTTAAAGTACAATGGTTTTGGCGGCCCCTTGGGGTTTCTGTCCCCCTGTACCTTGGGTCAATGGCTGGTCCGTCGCGTTCAAGGAGGGCCAGTGGTTTTTGGCGCCCTTGGGAGCGGCGGTCTTTGGCGGGCACGAGCGGGGAGGCTACTTAGGCTCACCCCTCGGTCCCCACCTTATCTTGTTTCGCTTCCCGCCCGGCCCCCCCTATTAGGGTGATGTTCGGTTGATTTGGGCAAGTGTGGGAGTTAAGGACGTGGAAATGAGGAGTGGTGGGTCTGCCTCAAGGGCTGAGTCTTGTATGGGACTGGCTTAACTACTAGCGAAGCGATTGGGCACACTAAGTTGTGGGTACCTCGGGTTGTATTGGGACAAACAATGTCGTGTAATGTATTGGTCCAGTGTGTGTGTGGACCTGGGTGGGACAAGGAGCCCGGCCCGGCGGAAATTAACATTTGCTGGGAGCTGTGAAAGGCCAAGCGCCCATTCCAGTCCGCACAAGTGGTACACGTTGACATACAAGAAGCGGCAGAACACCGCTTGCTGTTGACCACGCCTGAAAGCTGCAAGGGGATCGCCTTGTCATGTCCCTTGACATGTACGGTAGAGAATTCAACGCTTCCGCATCAAAAGATTTTACTGTTACGCTTTTTGCTCCACGTTCTTTTCAGAGCGCTGTTCATTTTTTTGACGTTGCTCCTCAGCAATATATTGTTCGGGTCGCCAATAAATGGGGGTCATCAAAAATTGGTAAGTTAAGGATATCACTCTGCTGGCGACCCGTACGATCCAGAAATGATGCAGAGGGGATGTCGACAGCCTCAGCACCTTCGTCACACTGATTGCCATCCAGTGGGATGGCGCTCAATGAGGCAAAAACCCCAAACATCACCCAGGGGTGCTCCAGAATTTTCTAGTAACTCAAACCCCAGGTACTCAGAATGCAAAGAGATGACGTCGGTGACAAAGAGAGACTACGGCAGCTTTGCTAGATGCCCAAAAACCTTAAAGCAATGCAGTTGTGATGCCGGACACAGCTCCAGTACGTGGCAGCGCGCGTCACGGGCACACCGGTGTCAGACACGTTTGGAAAACACCGTGAAGTAGTGAGAAACACCCAGGTCGCTGTTGGGCACGTGCGTTTGCTTTGGCAAGGGCTACAGCCGTGCGCGACTGGGGGCATTGGACGCAGAAAGGCTTGGCGAGTTGGGTTGCGTCAGTTTTTCCGAGCAATGCCTGTTGATCGAGCCGGGACAGCCGTGGCTGGCCATGGTGCTGCCGATGGGGGATGGCAAACACACGACCGAATCGTCGATTGAGACGGATCGAGGTCGAAGTTACCGGGGGGGGTTCTGGTGAACGGGCAGGCCTTTCCCCCTGCGCGGTCGGCTGTGTGGCGGAGCGCCGTGAGTTCGAGCAAGCGTGCGCGCCGTGGATGCGCAGAACGGGAGGTTGCTGGACTGATACGAGAGGCATGCAAATGTACTGCAGCTGGATTTGTCATCCTGGCATGGTGCTAGAGAGTTCTGGCGTCCTGTGGTATGCAAGCTGCTCAGAAGTGTGCCCCTTAGCTCAGAGCAAGATGGTTTGTCACGGGAGGCTGGGTGCCATCAATCAGAAAAATGGACTTGTGAAAGTTGATCGATTCTGGATTAAAAAGATCAATCAGTTGCAAGTCAGGCTTGCAACATGCTGTTACTATCCCAAGGTATGTAGAGATGTTTTAAAGAAATCGTTTGCAAAAGATTTCACCTCAAACGGATCCTTAGTGAGCAAGATATGGTATTTTATGTGCGATGGTGCCGTTTGGATGGAGGGGGGTTGCCCCCTGGGCGACTTGCCATAGGGCACAGTGAAACGAGGTCAGGAGGGGCGCGCGGAGGCGCCACGTAGCTTTTGATGGGAACACGGCCGCGTGGGGCATTACGTGGCCGGGAAGTGGGGCACACCGGTGGAGAATATATTACTCCCCGTTCTTGTTTGCTGAATTTCGGTTCTTGTTCCGCTGACAAGGCCAGTCCCGGTGCGTGGATCAGTAGTTGGGGTTTAGGGTGTCCGAAAACAAGAACCGAAATTCAGCAAACAAGAATGGGGAGTAATTTTATGCCCACACCGGTGTGATTTGTGGTGACACGGCACTGCGGCGGAAAGATTCCGTGGAATCAAAAGATGTTGTTTCATATGGGGGGGCATTTCAAACTCGGGGGAGGTTACAAGTACTTGGGGCGCGGACAGCGCTGTGGGCGACTCTCCATTGTTGCACTCGGCATGGCAGCTGTAAGAACGACTGCGTGGGGTCTGTCTGCGTCTCCCGCGGCGGTCTAGGCGTTCGGCCTGGCTGCCTGACTCCCCTAGCTGTGCGCGCAACGTTCGCCACGGCCTGAGCGCAATAGCTCTCGACTCTCCTAAGGTCGCGGCCAGTCTGGGCCGTGTTTTTAAGACGTTTCCTTGCCGTTCAAGAATAGCACCTTCAGTGCAGTGTAGTTGCCTGCCAGAACTTGCCAAATCTCATCGCTGCGCAGCCTTGTCGAGGCGGAGAGAAGCGTTTTCCGTGTCATACGCCGACGTGCTGTGGGCAAGGCGGCCCTGACCCGAGGACCTGACTTCCGTTTTGACTTCGTCGACTGTTGAAGAGCAGTTGAGAACGGGTGAGGCGCTCTGAGCGGCGGCTGTGAGAGTTTCTATAAGCGCATTTGCATGGTTGGCTGGCAGTGGGAAGTCTGCTACCCGTTTGAAGCTTCCCCTTGCCGTCGCCGCTATTTTTGGTGGTCGTCGTCGTCACGACAAGCAGTTCTTCGTGAAGAACCAGCTCGTGAGAGGGGCGAAAGTTTGGTCGTTCAGTGAACCCTCAACTGACGTGGTGGTGAGGCTGTCGACATGGCTCAGCTGCCCGTTTGAGGGTGATTTTGCTGCGCTATCTCCGGGGACGACGGCCAGAATGGACCGCCGTCCTTTGCAATATTTAATGTTGCTCCGCAGAAAAAGGCCAAACGTTATGTTACTGTCAAATTCCATTACAGCCAGCCAAAGTGATTGTCCCTATGCACAATCCAAGACGGGGCCCATTCACAAGAAATGCGATGTAGGGCGATTGGTGTCCGCAGCTGTCCCTACAAAGACCACTCAAGAATGTCCGCAACACCACGTCCAAAGCCGATGCACAGGAACACTTTATGTTACTGTGCGGAAAGATTTAAGAACCTGCGGTACAGTAGCCAAGCACTGCTACCCATGACGAAAGAGATAATAATGCACTCAGAGAAACAAAGAACAGAACACCATCCCTGACGCACCAATCTATGTGGTGCAATTTGCGCCATCACCTTAAACTCCTCTGCCCGAAGCGCGACTGGAAAATGCCCGTCAGTTGACGATTGGATGTCATCTGGCTGTGGTGGGGTCCCTGCGGGCGCTCTGGGGCCCTACGCCTTCAAGCATAATCAACAGAACCCCGGCCTTAGACCAGCCAGCCTCGAAACCAAGCGGTGACTTGATAAAAGCCACGTTGCACCCAATTGAATTGGCTCATTACCCAGCCTCAGAATGTCAACCCATTCGCTGCCTCACATCCAACGCCCAGAATCCAAAACTCACAGTTTTCCCCTCCGTGTGGCGAGTCAGGGTCCAGGCTCTCGGGGTGTGCTGACAGGCACCAGTTGCAAGTAGGTAGGACAACTTTCCTTGACAGGATGCCATCATGAGCGCCTTGATCATTGATGTCCCTGTGTCTTCTAGTAGTTGGCTGAACTTAACCACGAGTAGCCAAGGGGTATGCCGAGTGTGCTTCAGTCAATCAATACAGGGGATGAAGGTTGGGATTGGGAAGCCGCTGAAACCCCCGATCAGTGGCAATGTGCCACACGCCCTGAGGGCCGACATTGAAAGCAACAGCACTTGACCGGCAAACCACCTTTCCTTGGCTGCACAATTCAGCGTGCATTGTGCCCCTCTGATTTGTATTTGTTTCGTCGGTCGCTCCGCTGGAGCCCTTCGTTCTGAGGTGCTGCGCCAAGTACACCCAGCTGGTGTCATCAGCGAAATGGCACTGTGGGAGCCTGGAACGACGATCCCTTACAATAATTCGGGCTGTGGATAAACAGGAGGCTGTGGCATTGGTCTTTGTAGGCACTCCCAATCGCTCTTGCAGTTTGCTTTGTTTCTAGCCCAGGCTACAGCCACAACAATTTAAGCACAGCAGGCTCAAGGTGTATCAATATTGATGGCACACAAACCGTACGCACAAAGGATGCCAGGCAGGGACACCTGGGCTATGCCTTGGGATGCTCTCTCATTCTACACGCCAAGCTCACCCACAAATTACTTTACCGTGTCTCAAGAGCCCACCCAGAGAGCACAGGGTCCTTCCAGGTGCATCTTATTATCAACAAATGTTCTTCCCCGCCGTCCAAACTCCCAATACATCCCCCCCTGTACCCCTCCCATGTGCTCCACTACACCTGATTCAATGGCCTGCTGCCCTGCCCCGCTGCTCCGAAAACTCTCCTGAACAATCTAACGTACATCTCAGGTGCTGGCAGCACTGCACCCGTTCTCATGACGTTCAGCTCCCCCCAGGAGCCACAACAATCGCGCAACCACAGCAAAAATTGTGTGCATAGACTGCATGCATATACACAGCAAGCCACGACACCATAAGCAGCGGCCTCCCCAGGGCACGTCTCCTTCAGCGCCCAGCAACTCACCCCAAAGCACCGCTCTCTACGCCCCTGCACTGTGCTATGTGCACACATACAAAGCAGTGGCCACCCACCAACTGCGGCAGTAAGTCATGGATCCCGATGCTGTGGGGGCCACCCACCCCACTAGTGCACGTCCAGGCACCCCCCACATCGCCAAAACGACCGCCTGCAGCGGCCCACCCCACTGTAGCCTGGAACCAGCACCTCTGCACCTCTGCATCTCGTGGAGATGGGGTCGGTCCACCAATGACTCGGCCGCGTCGGCCAGCCGCTAGTCGCAGACTTCTTCCCAGACCTTCAGACAAGCGATTGACGCCACGCGGTCGGCAACTGCAAGGAAGGCGCGCCCACCGCCCAGCAACCGCCCGAGGCAGAACTCCGCACCCCGCGCGGCTCCCCCGCGCCACGCCGCCCCGCCGCGTCGATGGCCCCTCCAACCTCAATCATCCACATCCTGACGTCCACACATCCTTTCTTTCAGCAGGTCTTCGCCATTTGAGGCGCACGCCCGCCATCTGCTAGCCCCCGTGCTCCTCCCCACGCGGCCGCAATGCGCCTGCCCCTCACGAGCGCAAATCATGCCACCGATCGCAAAATCGAATCGCAGGGGTTCTAACCCGATTCGGTCCACTTACACGCCCCTGGCGTCCGGGCTCTGCACCGTCGACCTCGTGGGCAGGGCGTACGTCGTGAAGTTCGACGCGCTGCCGCCCACGATTGCCGGCGACCCCACCTGGTCCCAGCCCGCCGGCACCCGCTCCACGGCCGCGTCCACCAGCCCCTCCAATTCCGCCTCGCTCTGCAGGTACTCGTCCAGCCTGTTCCGGATGTCGGCGGCGTAATCCCGCGCCAGGCGCTCGTTGTAGCCCACCAGGTCGGCCGGGTAGTCGGTCAGGAACCAAGGCGTGCGGCACAGCTCCGGCAGGGTTATGCGCTGGCGGGGGTCGGCGCAGAGCAGCCGGCTCAGCAACAGGCGGCATGGGTCGGATACCCGGCTGATGTCCTGCAGCCCGTCCTCCACGACCACCTCCTGCACCTCGGGGATCTCCACGATGAGCTGCGTCAGCCTGTTCAGCTCCGCGCCCACCCACCAGTTGCGCTTCTTGGGCCGGTTGGGGGTGGCGACCATGGGGAGGGCACCGTACAGCAGGCGGTAGAGGCAGATGCCCAGAGACCAGATGTCCGCGGCCCGGCCGTCGTAGCCCCGCCGCTCGTAGCAGCTCTTGACCACCTCCGGGGCGATATAGCCCCAGGTGCCCGCCAGCGTCTTGGGGGTAGAGTCATGGCGGCCCTTGCTGAAGCCGAAGTCGCAAAGCTGCAGCTTGAAGTGCTGGCCGCCCGCCCCGCTCTCCACCGTCACCAGCAGGTTCTCCAGCTTGATGTCGCGGTTGAAGACGCCCTTGCCGTGGCAGAAGTCCACGGCGCACACCATCTGCTGAAACAGCGCCCGCGCCAAGCCCTCGGGGAAGCATCCCGCGCGCTGCAGCCACTGCTGGAGGTTGCCGTGGGGAGCGTACACCATGACGATGCACAGGTAGTACGGGGTCAGGAAGACGCGCTTGAAGGACACCACGTGCTTGTGCACCAGCCCGCGGTGGTAGAGCACCTCCCGCGCCAGGTGCTTGCGGCTGATGTTGGGCCCCCTCCGGAAGCACTTGATCGCCACGTCCTCGTCGCTGCGCTCATCCAGCGCCCGCAACACCAGCCGCCCGCCCGACCCGCCCCGGCGGTAGCTCAGGAACTCCCTGACCTGGTACCCCTCTGTGGCCAGGGCACGGGCGACCACGTCCAGCTCATCCGTCATCCCCGCCGGCAAACCGCCGCGGACTTCCGCGAAAGCCGCCACGGAGCAAGGCAGCCAACGTCAGCTCAACGTCGAGATTGCGCGTTGGGCAAGAACAGCCCAAACAGTGCCTCTGCTGGCCGAAGCGAGGTGGTACTCTTGGGCTGAAGACGAGCACCTGCCGGTGGGGGGTGTCGGTTGCGAACCGTTGGGCGCAGGGCGTCTGAAAGGTGGGCACCTGCTTCCTTGGCTTCGGGCCCGGTGGCGCCGTCTCCGGCGCGGACCGGGGGCCAGCGGGCCCCGCGCCAATGTGGCGATTCGCTGTACCGGCAAAGGGTGGGACATGTGTGGTCCACACACCGGGGAATTGGATCTTGCTGTCCGGGACAAACCGGCGCGCTGGCGCCCAGGAAGTGGCAAACGGCCCTTGCGCCCCAGGGCCGCAAAGCGCCCTGGCGGCCGCGCCCACGGCCGTATTGCGAGCCGTCAAGGTGGCGACGGGCGATCGCTGCCCTGCTTGATGGTGGGCCGCCGAAAAGGAGTCCCCTTTTCGGCGCACCGAAGAGGGAGTGAACGGCGCATGTTATTGCAAATGCTTGTGCGCCGTGCGAGGCTGCCGTCCAGCCACCAGAGGTGGGGAGGATGGGAGGGCGAACGGGCGCGCCGTTGTGTTGGCGTCCTTCGCCCAGTTGACCATCGTCCGCAAGATGCAGCCGACGGGTCATGGAAATGGGTTTACAACGAACCTGGTGAATGTGCCGTCAAAGGTTGCAGCCCGTGGAGAAGCGAACTTGAAACGCAGTGTAGGGCAGGCATAGCGCCTGAGACATCCCTGCAAGGGAGACTGGTGCCTTCAGGCAGATGGAGCTCAAGTCTGTGGTGCATTTGGCAACGGAAGAGAGAAACAAACGGGGCTGCCGCACCGCCGCGGCAGCAGCTTTGACGGGAGCACCAGCGCAATTGCAATGTGGCTAAAAGCTGTCGGCCACTACCCTCCTTCCAATTAAAACGGACTCCCGTTGGTTCGTTGCCGCCCCTGGTGGTCTGCTAAAAGGGCACCTACTCCAGCCCAGGCACTGCAGATTGATTGAGAGGGCACACTGCTCCCTTGAACTCTGTGGAGAGGGAGTCAATCATGAACTACCAGTCATGTCGGGAACCATGCAGCCATTAGAACATCCTTTCTCAGAACGTAACCTCTTCTTTGGTCTTCTGCGAGTTCCAGTGGGCTGTCAGCATTCCATGCTGACAAGATTTTATGAGCCATTCACGACCCACCTGGAACAAGGACGGCAGTCACAGGACAAACGCAATCAAAACACAGTATTGTGCTGTTGGCTGAAGGTCGACAGGCTTCTGTGCACCTCGTCTTACAAGTGTGGTCAGGGTGCTGTGTTGGTTGGATACCCTCCACTGGTTTCAACTGTGAATCGCTTGACATATCAATCATCAATTGTTGTGGATGCACTGGGAATAGTTGTTGACACTGTCTTCGACAGTGTTGTGTCTTGCCCCATCGTTCTGTTATCCTCTTGTGCAATACACATGAGAGCAATGCCCAAGTGCCTGGTGGGCGCTGTGTGTGAGTCGTTCTAGTGATGGCCTGCTTGTCCCTGTGCACCAAGCGCCTTGCATTCGTTTGTCTTGTGTAGAGTCCATCGGTTTATAGACATGAACAGCATTTGCTGGGACAAATTGTGTAGCAACAACCGCTATCTTTGCACTGTGCCTGAAGCCTTCTAGGCACCCTGCTGCATCCCTCCGGCAGGGCACCAACGTAGCTAAGCAGTGGATCTGGCTGAGCAGCCATGAGCATTGATTGCTTTTCCCTACTCGGGGCGTGGCAAGTTCTTTGGTTCTGCTTCAATTCTTTCCCTAGCGTAGGAATAGGAGGGAGGGAGGGCAACAGATGGAGCTCATCTGAGGGACGCTAGCAGAATATGCAATTGGACAAGAATAAAGTGGGAAGAGGCGGCAACGGCCTTCGCAGTGTGCAGAAAGGCCCCTGTGAACGTCCTCCTTGACGCCTGCAATTCACATGTCATAGCGGTCTTCACGATTGCGGTCGTGCGCATCTCCAAAGTCGTCTCAAGCTGAAAATTCCCAAACTTCAAGAGAAGCTGTCCCGCAAGTGAGCAAAACAATTGCAGCCATGCCTGCGCCGAAGGAAACGGATGTAGCAATCATCCAGCCGCCCCCAAACCCTCGTCACCATGAGCCTGCATCCACCTGAAATCTGGCAGACCACAACCATGATAGGCACGACTGCTGCTGAACGGACGAGACATGAAAGAATACTATTTTCTTAGCTCAGGCACACTGAGCCAACACCACAGTCGACCCTCATCTACTTGCAAAGGCCCAAAGAGGAACAGGACTCAAAGGCACTCATGTTGTGGGACATCTCAGGAGCAAACATGTTCTGAATCATGCTCAAACGAGCTTAAAAATTGCGGCATTCCTTGCATGGATGCCAATAACGGATTGGAGGTTTGCCAGCGCAAAGCTGCTGGCGCCCCAAGGCAGTGCGGTTACTCGAAATGTACTTGTGCAATTCGTAGCCTTGGAGGTGCATGTGCGACCGGTGCAGCACATGCACATGTTCATATTGGATTGGAATTTTTTGTCTCAAATGGTTATGCACCAGGTGTTGGACTCGTGTCCATCGGCCATTTTGTTCGAGCGACGCATCGGGGAACCTTGACCACAACACGGGCGCGTGCCAGGCACATGCCTATGAACGTTCCCTGCCCACTCACTTAACCGCAGGCTCGCATTTTATTGGGCATCCAATGGTCATTGTGAGGAATAATATGGTGTGGTTGGACACATATGGCGAATGTGAGGAATGATATGATGTGTTGGACACACATGGTGAACATGGTGGCAGAAACATGGTGAATATGGTGAACATGGTGATTTACTAAGAATGGACATTTCCTTGTACAGTATTTGATTGGTACACTTGTCTTTTAATGGCATCTGGTTGCAGCTTGCTTCCCGTGCCTGGGAGCGACCGTGCGAGTGCGGCTGACGAACGCACAAACAACGCCTCAGTCATCATCATTTTATCGCGCACCTCATCGGCGCATCCTACAATTAGGGCCTGAAGGCAATTCGTGGTGGAGAATTTCAATGGCCACTCACCGAACCTCCGGCCGTCTGCAATGGCTTCGAAACTCCAGATCGGAACCGCGCTCAGCTGCGAGGCAGTCATAAAACTGGCTGAGACCCAGGGTGGACGCACCGTGGCGAAGGGGTAAGCTGCTGAGCCTCTGCTCCGCACCCCATCTTCTGACCGCATCGTTTAACTGCATGAAACCGCCCATTCCTTCACGCACAGGAGGTGTTGAAACTCGCGACGGATTCGCTCCAGCTTTCAAGACTCACGTCTCGCGACATTTGATGTGCCCAGCGTGCGCTCGTGGTGCTCTCTTGTCTTCTGTTGTGCGTCACCGAGGTCGACGGTAGCCGACCCGGGACACGAGCCGGCACTGAGTTGTCGCCGAGCACATGGCATTCCAGGCCAGTCATCTCTGGTTCCTTCTGCCCATTTGCATGCCCATGGGCCGGGTGGCCACCCGGCGCTAACGGCTCCACGGTCTGTTGGGGCAAAAAGAGCCTTGGGCGCATTTGCAGTCACATGCGTTGGTGTTGTGTAAGTTCTGTTGAGGATTTGTTAACATATTGACTTCTGTTGCAATTGCTATCTTTCATGCACTCTGTACATCGATTGGCCGATAATGAGAAATGCAACCGCGCATTTGGAACTATTGCAGCTTTCTTTATTCATAAGAAACCTGTTTGTTATGCAGCGGGTTCAAACGGAGGAAGCGCTCGCAAGGTTGCCACCGACAGAATTGAATTCAGTAAACCGCACTGTCTCTTCGTTTACTGGCGGTGAGTATTCCAGCAAAAGACACTGACTGAGGCATACTGGGTTTCAGGAATTCTAAGTTGCGCCAACTAATTGACGCTGTATATATCTGTTTCATGCACTGAAGCACGTCACAGCAGAATCAGCTCATTTTCACCAGTGTGCTTGTAGTGGTGTTTGGGATACTGATTTGGTGACAGCAGCGCCAAAAAAGCAGTCTTTAGTGAATAATGAATATTGAGAATATCCTTAGAAGTGTTGGAGTCACACAGGCCTTGACAATGCTTTTGCCTGTGAATTAGAGGCAAATGATTCTGACGCATTCTGAGCACAGAATCATCGAGCTGTTTGTCAAATCACTTCATTTACTAATATTGCTTCACATAACGGAACCAGTATACTAACTTTACTTCCCAATCCATGCCTGCTGGATATTTATGCTTGCTTCCATTAATAGTTTCGTCAACATTTGAACCATTCGTTGTGCCAATGCCTTTCAAGTGGGCATCATTGTGGAGCCCATGGAGACCACAGGCGGCGCGGCTGTGACCCTAGCAGCGTCAAATACTGCGGGCATGACAAACATGGCGAGCATGACGCCTATAATGAGACAGGTGCCAGCGGAGGCCACAATCGCAAACCCGTTGCAAGTACTGTGAGGAGCCCCGCGGATCGACAGGTAAGTAGGGCGGACTCTGCGGCAACGGGGTATTTGGAGCCAACAAGCAGCGAGGCTTCTGCTGCGGGCGCGGCACGCAGCGGGGGACACGGAAGCCACCGGGCATGTCAGCCTTGAGAGGCGTTGCCCACTTCGTGGGACTGGTCAAGTGCGCGTGCTGTAACACGTGCAGCGGGCCTGTCCTGTAAGGAAGCCATGACTGTGGACCCAACAGCACGCCGATCCGGCAAAAGGCGAACAACGTAAAACGGGCGGCTCTGTCACTACGCGCTGCGACTGCTCGCCGCAGCGACCAGAGATTACGATGATGGATGATGCTGTGCTTTCCACATGGCATCATTTGACCCAATGAAACCTCTGCGACCCAACAGAAAATCGACTGCAACGGAGCAAACACGATGCAGCATTAGAAGCTGCTTAGAAAATTCCTTTGGCCCTCATCGGTTGGCTGAAATGACCAGCGAAGCACAGACCGCGCCGAGCCCGAATTATAGAGGTATTTCACCACTCGCCGGGGACCCATCTTCTGAACCCAGTGCTCTCAGACTAAATGCGGTTCACTGTTTGCGCAGGCCGCTCTTCACGCAACTCGGGCATCGGACGCGCATCCGGCATCAGTAAACTTCACTCTCGTCGGCAGCTCGTTTGTTGCAAGTCCAACTTGCCAAGGTGTCCTTGGAAGCACTGGAGTCTGAGGGCAAACACACGCTCAGACCGCCTTGTAATCTGCTCCGAGCAATGCGCACAAACGGCTTTCATTTGGACTCCAGATGTTTCCATCGTCATTGGTGATGGGGGGATTGAAAACGGTTGCCAGTGGTGGACGGGTATCATTTAAAGAAAATGTGTAATCTCTCCCTGCATGTTGCTCGCCCGGTGCGCATTCGAGATTTCAGCTGACTTAAACGAGCGAAGTTGTTGAAAATGGGAAGAAAATCATGAGGCGAGATGGGTCATTGTCGTCCATTTTAACTGGGCGACATTTTTTTTCAAAATTAAGCAAAGCGCCTTGACAGCATTCCACTGCAGAACGGCCCTAATGTCCGTGCGCCCTCGATACTCTCTTTGCCGCATCCTGTTGCATATGCACAACGCCCCATTCGAGATGTGTCATCGCGACTGTGCATGTGGTCCATCAGCGCCACAGACCCAAGACTACCCATTAGCAAACACAAATTGCAGCACTTAATTCAGAAAATTAGGAGCCTCATGCATTGACAATCATGTGCATTTGACAGCGATTGTGACCGTTGCTCTCTTTGTCGATCCAGGCTGAGCCAGCAGTTGATTACCTCTGCATGCGTGCAACCAAGCATGCAGTGGGGAGCTTTTCTCCTTGGCGTCTATTTTTCAACACTTGAAGCCAAATGAAATCATTCCCTTCCTGATGCTGTCCGCAGTTCCGATGATTTGTGGTGCCACATTCTTGCTCCGTGGTTTTCACTGTTCATGGGGCCAAACGAGAGTGTGGACCAGTGTCCAGGCGTGGTTTGGTACGTGTACGTCTCCAGGGCTGTGTTTGGCACTTCGCTGGTGCACTTTTCTGTCCGTCATTGCCTACAAGGTGCAAGAGGCATGCCTTCATCATGGGTTGACAGATGCAACGCAAGGAATTCACATTTCTGCCTTACCGGTCTCCTGAGCCCACCCCGTCATGTACCCCCATGACAATAATTACAAACAACCGTCAATCGTCACATTCCCGAGGTTCCCGTCCATTAAACTTGCCCATTCGCTTCGCTAGTACTTCAATGCCACTTCAGTGAGTGACTCCCCATGAGTCAGCTCCCTTTCCCGTACTTCACTCCCTCAACTCCCTCACCATCCCACAACTAACCCGAACTCCACTATCCAGGGCGGGAGGGCTGGGTGCGAAACAAGATAAGGAGGGGGACCGAGGGGCTGCCTAAATAGCCGCCCTCCGCCGCCCCGCCAAAGCCCACCCAAACTCGAGGGCGCCCTCGCGGGCGGCACCTCGGAATACCGTACTTTGACTGACCCACGGTACTAGGGGTGGCCAGAAATCCCAAGGGACGGGGTTGAGTAAACCCCAGGTTCAAACTGCACCGTTTGAATCGCCGGTGCAGCCCACCCAACGTCGCCCTTGGCAGAAACCCATTAACAGGATAGTTAACTTCATTTACGTTTGAGCCTCATATATATGTACCGATGGCGCACTTTCTCCCACACAATCAAGCATATTGTGGGAAAAAACACATTCTCGCCCCGCGTGTTGTTTGTGAGTAGAAACGCATTTGATCGCAACTGAGATGGCCTTCGCTCAATCAAACAAACTATCCAGCGATCCATAAATGGTTGCACCACAAAGGTAGGGAGATCTGGCAGCCATCAGTTGCCTCTGAGGCTCCTTCAGGCGTGGCATTGCTCACTCGCATCCGCACCGTGAAACCTGGCGTCGGTGGCGCAGCCCGGGCCCGCGTCCATGGTCGCTGCTGCCGGCAGTTTCCAACAAAAATGGCGGAGGACGCGGGGGCGGGGCCGAAGCCTTCCCAGCGCGAACCGCCCTCGAACCTGCACGGCCCACATCACGCCATCGGCACCGCCCGCCTGGCTCGCCTCGTCGAGTGGCGTCACGCGGCGCCAAGTGCATTCCTCACATGCTCAGCATGTACCCGAGGTAACCAAAACGGAATCGGGCCCTTGTACATTGCGCCGCGTCTCCCAACTTTCCTACACGTTCGTTGATCCCAACCCCCACTTTCCGCGCACCCGCCCCGCAGCTGCGGCCGCCATCCATGGGGGGGGGGGCCAACGCACACATAACAGCCCTCGCTGCCAATAATTCACACTCAGTAGCCCCCCACGCTCAGCGCTCTCCCAAGGCGGCAAGGCGGCGCCCAAGCCCGCTCAGCAACATAGCCACCCCAAGGCGAACCCCTGGCCCTGCCCCCTCTCCCCCCTTTCCCCTGTGGTAGATTGCCCACAGCTTGATTCGCTAGTTCACTCTGCTTGTGCACGGCATCTCTGCGGCATCCCGGGTAGAGTGAGCCAGACCTGTGAGGCCCCATGGTCTCCCAGCCGGTGCCCGCCCTGGGGCTGCCCTCCTGGTACATCCTCCAGGAGGTCCTGAGCCGCGTGGACGCAGATCCGACCAGCGCCGCCGTGGTGGTGCGCGCGCACGACGAACGTATCAAGGACCCTAGGCGGGCCGCGGTGGCGATCAAGTGCATCCCGCGGTCCTGCGTGGCGCGCGGCGCCAAGTACATAGAGCGCGAGGTGCTGCACCACCGGCGCCTGTGGCACCGCCACGTGGTGATGTTCAGGGAGCTGCTGCTCACGGACAGCCACCTGTGCATCGTGATGGACTACATCGGCGGCGGCACGCTGCACCAGCTCGTGCTGGAGAAGAGGTGGGAAGGGGAGCTTTTGAGTCGGGCGTTGTCCCACAGGGGGCGCGAAATCGAACGGATTTTCCTGCGGGATCTTTGCTTGCTTGGTTGGGGAGGACTGGCTTCACGACCGGATGGAAATTCTGCAATGTGGAGTGGCCTTTGTTGTGTTGGCGACGGTGGGGACTGTGGCGAATTAGCTTGGCGGTCTGTGGCGCCGCGGCGGGGGTGTTGGGGTCGTGGCCGGGCCGCGTGGCTGGGCCGTCGTGTGGAGAGGTGGAGGGAAGTGGAAACGGTGGGGTGGGTGGGTGGGGGGGCAAAAAGGTGATTGGCGGGCGCACACGTATAATGAGTCAACCGCCGGGCGTCGGCCTGCCACGCGTCTGTGACCTCGGCCGGGATGCTCCTCCTCGACGGGGGGAAATAAGAAAGCCATTTTGATTGCGCACCCAAAACCTCGTGACAATTTTTTGTGCGAACGAACGCGAAGCCGGATGATGACAAGGGCCGACATCATCTTGATTTTCAGTGCGCGCCTGCATGGAGTGCCGCACCAGTCAGTTTGCCGGCAGTGGTGTTGGGCATGAAGGTCGTTGACTCACGGCCGGTTTTGTGTTCCGCGGCAGGCGACTCAGCGAGGGACTCGCCAGGTGGTTCTTCCAACAGCTAATCCTTGCAGTCGACTACTGCCACCAGAAGGGCGTCATGAAGTGAGTCGGGAAAAGCGCATGCAGCCAAAGCGCTGTGGCATGGCTGCTGTCAATAAACTGTCGCGCGATGGACAAAGTCGCCAGAAAGGGGGCAACGCTGGGTATGGCCGCCACAAAGCGCCTCCGCGAGCGTCGATGGGGCGTGGGACAAGCCACTGCCGCCAGCGGTTTTAGCGTGGTTATGCTGTAGTCCACTTGCTGAAAACCCAGACGCCAAATAGTTTGTTTTGTTGTTTGGGTGCAGTACAGCCAAATTGGACACTGGTATCTCAGCAAAAACTGTAGGACAGATTGGATGCTGCCAGCCGTGCTGCCATGTATCAGTTCGGTCTGCACCGTTCTTGTGGTTTTTATCGACCTGTGGCTGACCGCACGCTGTTCCCGCAGCCGGGACGTGAAGCTTGAGAACATCGTAGTGGACGACAGGCAGAAGCACCACCCTGTGGTGTACGTCTGCGATTTTGGGCTGTCCAAGCATGTCAACAATTCCGACCCCACAACACTGCTAGGGACCGGTAAATACATGGCGCCGGAGGTCATCTACCAAGGGGCCAAAGGGTTGAGGTGGGCACTGGTATCAAGCCAACGATCGATCCATATATTCTTTCGCAAATCGCGAACGCCATCGGCAAACATGTTCGCCATTGATTGATTGTGTGCAGTGTTTTGACTCAACGATCAACAACCTGATTGATTGGAATATTGATGGACTGAATTGATGCAAAGTCCAACGCAAGTGCTGCAAGCCAAAGGGCAAAGTCCCAAAGCTCAGAACCCTCACTGTTGAACATTTTCCCCATTTTTGAACTCGACGCATTTGCTTTCACAGCAGTTAGCATTATGGCTCTTCGATGCTTTAGCACCAGTGAATTCCAGCCAAATAGCCCCCGTTTGCTTTCACAACAGTTGGCATTATGGCTCTTCGATGCTTTAGTATCAGTGAGTTCCAGCCAAATCGTCCTCATTTGCTTTCACAACTGATAGCATTATGGCTCTTCGATGCTTAGTATCAGTGAATTCCAGCCAAATCGCCCTCATTTGCTTTCACAACTGATAGCATTATGGCTCTCGATGTTTTAGTATCAGTGAATCCCAGCCAAATCGCCGAAACTGAAGTCTGTTGAGACAAGCCAGTGAAAAGCTGTCACAGGGCTCGCCACCAGCGTCGCTACGCAGCACATCAAATTCGTATGATTCTGCCTGGGATGTCTGCACATTCCGTCAGACCGTTAACGCATTCTTGAACTCAAGTACCCCAGCCACCGCGTGGACTGACGTGCTCACACAGCCGCTGCTCCGCTCCGCGTTGTAGGTACGATGGCAAAAAGGCGGACATCTACTCTTGCGGCGTGTGCCTTGCCGTCATGCTCTTCGGATACTACCCTGAGGTGCTGGTAGGCGGCCAGCCGGTGACGAGCGACAACGATGCGCGCCAGACCGGCATGAGGGTCAAGGCGCTGGTCGGCGCCGGAGAGGCCTGCCTGCAGGTCGTCCTGCCCCAGCAGCGGGACGCTGACGGTGAGTAGAAATGGGCAGAGGTAATTGAAGAGCAGACAGAATGCAATTCCAAGATGCGGGCCCGAATTGCGTCCCCACACAGAGTGCAGGGACTGTGGAGTAGAGTGGCAAATTGGACATGTGCTTGGTTGGATTGCAGCGACACCCTTTTCAATGAATAAGGCTTCGACGGTGCTTCCAGATGGTGAAACAGGCGCTGATGGCAACCTTCTCCCCTTGGTAAAATGAGCGAATTGCTTGCTACATCTGCCACGGCTGGCCACCCTTTTGGCTCCCGCTGCCTGGCTTCTTCACTTCTTTTTCTCGATGATGATGGGCCAGCCAAACACGGCATGGCGTTCAACCTGGCTGTGGACCCTTACCGGGGACAATGCAGACAAACATGAGACA